CTTTGCCAGCCCTAAACCCACGAAAAACCAGGGAGGAAACATTCAACATCCTTCTTGGTTTAAGAATCCATGGAATGAAAACAATTCAACACAGCAACCTCTCACAAGCTTATTACCACAATTACCTGGCATGTAATAGCACCAGCTTTTATTTCATCGAGAAGTTCGGGGCTCTTCAGGTAAGCAAATAAGGAATGAGCCCAGTTAGTAGCTCATAGTTAAGTTTTTTTATACTAATAGTTTGAAATACTCTGCAGCCTTGGACTTCAATAAATTATTTTATAATTACATACAAGCGGCCAATAAAACCTTCCAAGAAGCAGCAAGAGATCAGCCTACTTTCAGTTTACAAACAACACTCAACAGAGCAGCATCTGCTGGGGGGTGGCGAGGGAAAGCACAGGCTGCTATCAAAGCTGACACGCCCAACTATTAAAGTTAAGCTTATAAGAAAGCACTCATCACTCCTTCACTGTTTTAAAGTGAATGTTGTAAGCTGGAGGGATACAAGAAATCCTGCCTGTCATTCAGATCCAAAAATCATTACAAACCTTTGAAGCAGCAGTGCTGTTCAATGCTCTCTCTCTTTGCTACTTGGCCTACAAACGATCCAGACCCATACTTGATTTTAACTCACAGAGGCAGGGGAAGGAAGAGGGACACCTTGAGGGTCTCTGAATTGCCTCCAACATACTTGAATTATCTCAGACACAAACCAAAATTAACTTATATGCAGTGATAGAGTTCTGAAGCAATCATATAAATGCTCCATTACCCGAGCAAGTAAGCTTCACACCTTCAGTTTTGATATTCCAGTCGCAGGAACTGATGCTCCATTACCCGAGCAAGTAAACTTCACACCTTCAGTTTTGATATTCCAGTCGCAGAAACCAACATCCTTAAGAAGTGTCGGCAACTTAGAGCATTCTGATTTTTTCTGTTTCTGAGGAACGACAGTAACATCCAGTTGAAAATTAAGAACAACAGTATTTTGCAGTACTGCGATACCCTATTTTCAATACAAGACTGCCACATGCAAGAGAGGAAATATTACAAACTATTAGCAAAACCACACACAAGACAAAACCCCAACCTCCACACGCTTTGGCAACTGGAAACCATCTCAAGCCCCCTAAATCACTGCAGAAACCAGGTCTGAGATTTGGATGATGGGAACAGCAGTGCCTTCACCGCGAGTGGCAAAGTCACGGCTGCTGCAAGGGGGTTTTGGCCATCAGCAGGCTACTTAACTGCTCCTGCAGCAGCAGCTGACACACTTTCTGGCTACAACAGACCGAATACCAGACTCTCTGTCAAGACAGCCTTACAGTTCAATGCCAGCTCTGAGGCTGCTTTTCTGAAAAGCAACAATCATGTTACAGAACTTCTTTGCTTTGTCCTCTGTGTTTAAAGTGCGACTTCTCAACTCTCTCAGCTGGGCACGGGGCTGCTGTACTAAGGAAAGGCAAACAGTTATCTTGAAGGGTACTAGGAAGTAAAAAGACACACACCCCAGCCTTTCAGCCTGCCACGATCCTGTAATACTTCCGAGAATTGGCAGCTATACCCATCTAGACCTTTAGAATATTCTATATCCTACTTGTAAGTGACAACCCTTAGGATTTTGAAAATTGGTTAAATGAGGTGTGTGAGCACCTACAGACACTGCCCACTGCTTCTCCAGCCTCCTACTGGAGCTGCTCTGCTTCCAGGTAAGCAGCCTCTCCGTTCCTGTCCTGCTGCCTCAGCAAATTTCAGCAATAGAATATGGCTGCTTTTCAGAGTGGTGCTGCAGCAAATAATATTTGCTATGGAGCAGAAAGCCGGAGGTATCTTGGCACTGCAACCTTCATGCTTAAACAAAAACTGCATGTGGAAGAGCTCCAAAAAGAAAATCAAACCAGCAAAAGCCACCAAAATTAATTTTGAAGAAAAGCATTGGGGGGGGGGGAAGGAGGAGGAGGGGTGAAGAGGAAAATAAAGGCATTGTCTCAGAGTTTGTGCTTATTATCCCTTAATAAAAAGACTGGCAGCTTTGAAAGCACATTAACATATCTACTTTGGTATGACATTGTTTGTTTATTTGGGGGTTTTTTGACAGCTTGAATTTCAGGCTAACATCTAAAACCATAGACTCATAGAATCATTTGGTTGGAAAAGATGTTTAAGATCACTGAGTCCAACCTTATCTGCCCACTACTAAACCATGTCCCTAAGCACCTCATCTACCCATCTTTTGAATCCCTCCAGGGATGGTGACTTGACCCCCTCCCTGGGCAGCCCGTTCCAGTGCCTGATAACCCTTTCAGTGAAGAAATTTTTCCTAATATCTAATCTAAACCTCCCCTGGCACAACTTGAGGCAGTTTCCTCTCATCCTATCGCTGTTACTTGGGAGAAGAGACCAGTACCAAGTTCATAAAGGTCCATCACGTTGGATGTGACTGGACAGTAGGCACGTTTCACGTACATACCAGAGGTTTTAGGGCATGTTTAACGAAATACTGAATTTCCTGCTGCTGACATACAGATATATTATCAGTTTTTCTTTAAAAAAATAAAAATAAAATCCAACAGTAATTAGTTCAGCAAGATTAGCAGAGTGCCCTACCATGCCATACATCTGACTCCAACCTACGATTCACTCCTCGCCCCCATAGGCTAGAGATGCAGTGGAAGATATCTCACATATTCAACCTTATAAAGTCCTTGTGGTGCTTGTGCACTTTCCTCCCTTGGTACTGGAAGGGCAGAAAACACAGGGAACCAGTTGCAGCTTACCCTGGTCAAACAGAAATGAGTTTGTTTGGGGGATTGTTTTGTTTATTTGTTTTTTTAAAAGGAAAAATTCTTTATCATGTCCTGGGAGGAGGGCCTGAAGGAGGGAAAAAGAGTTGGCAACCTATGTCAGAGACAGGCAGTTAAGGACTGAGAAAGCCTGGAAAAAAAAAAAAACAAAAAACCAAAACTAAAAAAAAAGGGGGCAGGGAAGCACTGAATAACCACCCTACTACAGGGAGCAACGATCATGGTCCCACCCTTTTGTGTCTGTGTGAGTGCCCTGTGCCCACATCGAAAAGATTTCTCTTGCTTGCTTCCATCATTAGGAACACCCAGTCGTTACCAGGATTCGACCACCCACCAGCTTCCACTGAAAAGGGTCAGCTGGGTCTCAGCTGCAGCCTAACAAGGGAAGAGGAAGGTACTTTCAAACCACGGCCTCTCTAATTTAAAGCTGGGGATGACGTGCTGGGCACAGCAGGTAATTACAAGTATGGGGATAAATCTATTAATGTACATTCAGGTGGTAGTTTGGAGCATGAAGGGCTTCTTCCTCCTTAGTCTACCTCTCCAGCTCCACACCAGTCAGGTGACGTTAAGCAAGGAAGCTCTGCAGAAAGGGGTTTGGAAGCAAACCTCATCTCCCCATGAGAATGCTGCTTCTCTCTGTTTAGACTTCCACTAGGGAGAGAGATAAAGACTGCCTGTTAGCTAAAAAGGCGGTTTAGCTCGCATAGATCCTTTCACTAAGGATAACTGACAGAGCAAGGGAACTAGAGCTACCTGGTGCACGCGACAGCTCTGCAAAATGTTGTTCTGCAGGTATCTTTTTGTAAGTTTTGTAGAGCAATTTTGAAGTGCCATCTGTTATGCTTGCTCGTGGACTGATCAAACAAGAGATCCTCAACTTGTGAAGAGATGGTTGACATTTAAGAAAGCTCTACAGTTCCTCCTCACTTTTGGGAACAAGCCACTTACCTCAAGCTTCATACCCCACCACAGGCGCCAAACTAGTTAACAGGAGTTACAGACACGGACTGAAGGCACAGCAGGGCACAGCTACCAACCAAAATGATCATTTGGGGTCCAGCTTGTTTCTAGATCATGAGTTTTACAGCAGGTTCAAGCAAGGGTCACTGATCCGATGCATTTCATTACTTTTTAAATCTATAAAGACCTTTTTAAAAACAAATTGAAACATATGCAAAAGTAATAGCTACAGAATAAGGACTACTAAGAATAAAACCATCGAACTTAAACTAAGGATATTTGGATTTTTTAAACTACAAAACTTAAGGGATGATGCCAATTCTACACAATTTGAGTGGGGGAAAAAAAACCCAAAACCCTCTGTGTTTTTTCAGGCCAATACTTGTTTGTGCAATTCAAATGAAAGTAAACAGTCAACACCAGCTACAGCACTAACTGAAATACATTTTCATATCAAGGCAAAGAGGACTAGCTTCCCATGGGCTTAAATATTATTCAAAACAGACAGATAATCACTCGTAGCATTCCAGTTACGTATGTAATAAAACTATACAATCACATAAAAATCCTTATGAAAGGGCCAGCGGAGCCAGTGAGATCAGGACTGTAATCTTACATTTTGAAGGCTACTGCCAGCAAAGCTACACTAATCTTGTATAGTCTTGATTCCTTCAGCTTTCTCCCCCTCCTCGCTTTCTGCTCTAAAATGTTTAACTGGGAAAAAAAAAATAAAAAAAATCTATTAGTATGTTTTGTAAACCTCCTGATTTATATGTTCCAAGTAATAATTTTTCACCTACTTACTAAATATTCAGTATTGATCAACAAGATGATTTTCCTAATAAGGTTAATACCATATCATTAAGCCACGACTCCAGATTTGTAACCACAGCATCTGACTTCCTTCAAAAATAAAGCCAAAACCAGCTATGGCCTTGAAATGTGTTTGCAAGGACATCCTAGTGGTTTTGGACTTCAACTACCACACTGCAGAGAGCCCCTTGCTTATTCAAATCTGACTGCCAGAAGAGGAGCTGATCAGCTGGCATCTCTGGGCTAACGCCGGAGATGCAGCCCCGATCTGCGTACTTTATTTCGCCTCTGCCTTGCGCCTCGACCAGCTGCCTCACCGTGCCGAGGTCGGCTGTTCACAGCCAGGGATCTTTTGCTTAACCCTGCTCCTAATTAATGGGGGAGCCCAAGTCCAACAATTACCTTGCAAGCTCCGACATGCGAGTGAGTTACAACAAGCAGACCGGTTCGGGCTTGTTCTGCCACTGCAAACAATTACTTCAGGGGTTTTTTGTTGGTTTTTTTTTTTTTCTTTCTCTCTGAAGAGTTCGCGCCGGAGCGCGGGGCACGGCCTACCCGGCCCCCGGCGCCGTTACCTGTTGTTCCCCCGCTCGTCCCCCGCCGCCGGGGCAGGG